GAGAGAGAGAGAGAGAGAGAGAGAGAGAGAGAGAGAGAGAGAGAGAGAGAGAGAGAGAGAGAGAGAGAGCTTTCACGGGCCATTGCAAGTGACACGCAGCACTAGGGAGAGAGAGAGAGAGAGAGAGAGAGAGAGAGAGAGAGAGAGCGCTCTGTTGGTTTGGAATCAGGGATCGGGATCTGGTGGCATCTGCTTTGCACTGCAGAGGGCCTGCCCCCTTCCTCTCCTGCGCAACGAAGAAGCCAGATGATCAGTCCAACAGTCAAGGCCCAGGGTTTCAAGGAAGAGAAGGACGTCATCCATTTTGTGCGGCAGGTCAACATTCAAGACGGAGGGGTCAGGAACGAGTGTTGTGCGACACTTGTGCGACATACGAACAGGCATGGTCGTCCAACAAGCCAACTCTCAACACGGAGGGTTTAGGCCAAAAGTATTGTTCGACGGGCGGCTTGGTAACGACTGTTGTGCGACACTCGAGCGGGATGCGAACAGGCAAGGGAAGAGCCTGTGCGACAGCCCGCAGGTTATCATTGAAGAGGGAGAGTTTAGGAGCGCATGTCGCGCGTACTTGTGCGGCCCTTGTGCGACATACGAACAGTCACGGCGCCATATTGTGCCACAAGCCGACCCGGAAAGGCCTTTCAGGGCACTTGTGGTCGGGATCATCATCATTGGTCCTCGCTTCTCCACACTAGTCACCCAATGTGCAAAATGACAATGAATCTTAACGTAGAACATGGAGAGATGCATCGCCATATTTTTTAACTTTCGTGCTTTTGGTGATGGAGCTATGCCCATTCATTCATTCATTCATTTCATTCATTTCTGGTTATGATTACTTGGCTGCTAAAGCTGATTTGTTTCTTTGTTTTTTTATTTGTTGATGATTAATTCATGACTACATAGTCCGGAGTCGGGAGCAGTACTCTTACCAAAAAATGTTTTAGAAAAATAAAAAAAGTGCAAAAAGTGCAAAAAATGCAAAAAAAAAATATAATAATAACAATAGTAAGTACGCGCTGGCCAAAAAATGCACAAAAAAAAAAGAAAAAAAAAAAGGCACAAAATAATATAATAATAACAACAGTAAGTACGCGCTGGCCTGGCCACCAAGGTGTGAACAGCTAGACGTTCGAAGTGGAAACCAGAGGCTTGGTCCCATTAGCAAAGAGCATCGGATTGAATGCCTGAATCTGGACGTGTTTGAGGACAGGAGCAGGAAATCAAGATAGAACTGCTTTTCTGTATCTCTGCATAAAGCATAGCCAGATTCAGGATTTCAGGATTTCTATCCTATCCCTTTCGCTAGTGGGACCACGGCCCAGGGGCTTGGTCCCATTAGCAAAGAGGATGGGATTCAATTCCTGAAATCTGGATGTGTTTTTGAGCAGATCCTGGAAATTGTGATTTGGTTCAAAAAAAAAAAAAAAAATGAAAACAAAAATTGTGATTCGTCTGCTTTCTGCATCTCTCCCCAAAACGCATCCAGATTCAGGAATCAAATCCCGTCCTCTTTGCTAGAGGGACCAGCCGGCCCCAGGGCATGCGGCTGAATGGTACACAATGGGGCTCTCGCTGCACTACTCTCGAAATGTGCACAACGAGAGTGAATCGTCCGCTAGAATATGGAAAGAGACATCCATCGTGCGTAATGATTTTTCTCTTTTGTGCATGTCGAGAGTAGTGCAGCGAGGCCCATGATTAGCATGTCCTTCGAGCCGTCCGTTAAAAGTGGATGTCTGGAACGATACACACACACACAGAGAATGGGCCTCGCTGCACTACTCTCGACATGCACAAAAGCCCAATGTCACATGTCCTTCGAGCCATCCGTTAAAAGTGGAAGGGCCTCGCTGCCCTACTCTCGAAATGTGCAAAACGAGAGTGAATCTTGCGCTAGAATATGGGAAGATACACGGCCATGATTTTTGTCTTTTGTGCATCTCGAGAGTAGTGCAGCGAGGCCCGAAGTCTGGAACGATACACACACACAGAGAAGGGGCCTCGCTGCGCTACTCTCGACGTGCACAAAAGACAAAAATCATTAGGCACGATGTATCTTTCGATGTTCTAGCGGAAGATTCACTCTCGTTGTGCACATTTCGAGAGTAGTGCAGCGAGGCCCATGATTAGCATGACCCCTGCGCAAGGACGACGTGCATAAATCGAGAAATGGTAAACAGTCTCGGAAAAAAAAATAAAAAAAATGGTAAACAGGTCATGAGTTCGAAGCCTCCGAGGTGGTGGTGGGCTATCTAGAGGCGGACTATCCCCTTTTAAGAACACACTGTGACACTCACCATCGTCATGTCAGATTAGACACATTGGGTTGGGCTACACAAAGGGGGGAAAGGGGGGGGGGGGGGGGGGGGGGAATAAAAAAGGTGATGCCTTTTTCTCACATGCAGCAAGCGGTGAACCGAGGCGCAATTGATTGGCGGAACGTGATTGGAGGGAAGAGGGGCACGCAGGGACTCGTCCTTTTCTTTGTTGACGTCAGCGTTGACTATCGTAGGGAGTGTTGACCAAGCCGCGGTTGACAGACACGTTTGACAAGCGCACGGGGGGGCGGGGGKGGGAAGGGGAAGGGGAAGGGGAAGCGCGCGGTTTGGTTCGGTCGGCTGGCTGGCCACAAAGAAGCGCGCGGCGCGCGGCTGGCTGGGATGGTTCCCCGCCCACAGTCTCCAGTCCCAGGCCCCAGGGCCCAGGGCCCAGGGCCCAGGCCCCAGTTTCAAGGCCCAGGCCTCAGAGATTTCGCCTCCTCGCCGCGTCAGACGGAGCGGCGATGTGGTTGGAGCTCAGACCACGGTGGAAGCTGCAGCCGCCTTGCAGTGGACAGCAGGGGCGAGCAGAACGAGAGCCAAAGCGTCGTCGCATTAGGACGGACATGGACGTATCTGACTGCAATTACGGCCAAGGGGGAATGAACAGGACCGCGATTCCGGAAGTAGTCCCTCCAGAAAATGGTCGAAAAGGTCCCTGTGCGAGAATGCCTGCTGGCGGAGGAGCGGCTATGTAGGTAGAGCTCACCGCAGTCATTCATCACAGGCGAGGTATGGATAGGGACTTTTTTTTGTTGTGACGGAATCTGGACCGGAGAACGGTCAAAATACATACGCCATTGAAAAGTCGTAGTGCGAGCATGCCCCTAAGATAAGGCAAGGAAGGAGTGTAGGTACAGGCACGCCCACTCGTCGTAGGAGAGTTCAGGAGGCAGAAAAAAAGAGAGGAAAACGGCTCCGTCAAGGTGCCTCCCCCTGAAGTGGTTGGGTGGGGGGCGCAAACATGACCGCCACTTGGTGGAGGAAGACAAAGCGGCGGAACCGGAGGCCGCGCGGGGTGGAGCGGAGACCATCGCGGAGTCGGGGTCCCAGGCGACGACGCCGCAGAACCAGCAGCAGCAGCAGCAGGCAGAAGATGCTGTGTCGCTATCAAACGTAAAGGACAAGTCAGCCCAGGCTATGGAAGGCACCAACTTCCAGACAGCAGCAGTAGGAGAAGGAGGAGGAGGAGGAGAAGCAGGAGAAGGAGAGGGAGGAGGGGGTGGTGTCGTAGCCGATCGCAAAGTCTCCTCAGGAGTCAAGACCCTTCGAGAAAAAGCTCATCAAGCGCCGGACGATCCTAAGAATCGCCGGCCCAAGACTCCCAAACGACATGCTCCAGCAGGAGGAGGAGGAGGAGGAGGAGGAGGAGGAGGAGGGGGAGGAGAGGACAGCGCAGCATCACAACAAGTGCTCGGTCCTGGACACGTGGCAGATAGCCATCCTGTCCTGTCCCTTGAGGTCAACGGTGACGATTCGTTGACTGCAGGCGCCGTCGATCAGCCTGGCGGAGCGAAGAAGAAGAGCGCCAGGGGCAGTTCGGCTCTCAAGGGAGGGACAAAGTCCGCTAAGGGGAGTGCTGCAGCAACCCCTCGCTCTCCTCACACCCCTCGCACCTCTCGGAGTTCCGTTCCTGGTAAGGGAGGCAATCGCCCAGCCAGCCGTCATGATCCGGACAAGGGGCAGAAGAAGGAGGAGGAGGAGAAGGAGGAGCAGGAGGGAAAGGAAGAGGGAAAGGACGAGGAGGAGGGAGGGTGGCCCAAAGAGGCACCTTTGTCATCGCCATACGATGCTAAGCCGGACGCCAGCAGGGTAGGGGTCCAAGAGAGCAGAGGCAGAGGAAATCAGCAGCTAGCCTCAGAGGCCATCGTGGCCACCGACTCTGCGGGAGGTGGTGGTGGTGGTCCCCACGAAGACCTCAACGACGAAGCAGCATTCATCACGATGGTCAACGTCCAGACGGAGCAATCACACGCGGCCAGCCTGCTGGATGCCTGGGACCCGAGAGAAAAGCAACTAGACCAGCACAGCAAGCCGAAGGGAGACGGAGGGGGAGGGGGTGGGGAGGGGGCTTTTTCACCTGCTAACCCCACCTCAAGGGACGAAGCAGCAGCTCCTCCCGCAACGGCAGGAAGGGATATCAGTCCGGAGGCGGGAAATGCTGGCGATCGCGGTCGTGATGATGATGAAGAGGAGGGTGACCCGGAGGAGGAGGAGGACGAGGAGGAGGGGGACGAGGAGGGGGAGGAGGAGGAGGGCATCCACTGGCCAGCAACTGCAGGAGTCTCTGAGCATGCAGGTTTTCACGACGATTCGATGTCTGACGGTTCGGGGGCGAGCGGCTGTATGGACGATGACAGCGAGAGGGCGGGGAAGGCGCGGGGGCGGGGGGGCAACGCGCGGGGGGGGAAGAGATCGCAAGCTGGCGGTCGCGCCAGAGGCCCCAGGGGGGTCTTGCGCGTGTCCAAACGCATCTCTAGGGCTGCCTCAGACCGATTATATGCCAATGCCTCCGAGAGGAAGACGAAGCTGCTCAAGCTCCAGGAGTTCTACCACGAGCCCCCCCTCTTCTCCCCCAACCTTTGCCCCAAATCCCTCGAGATCGTGCAGTCCTTCGGCCATATCCCCTTCATTGATCGCATGCAGAAAATGGACGAAAAGCGCAGAATGCGGCTGGAAAAGCGCCAGCTTGAAGCGCAGGAGAGAGAAGCCGCAGCGATGGCGGAATGCAGCTACGCCCCTGTGATCAACCCCTTGTCCAAGACCCTGACCAGGAACGTCGAAACCCTTTGCAAGTGGGCAGAAGACAAGCAAAGGCACCTGCAAGAGTTAAAGGAGCAGCAGGAAGCGGCCCTCAACGAGATCTTATCCCCTAGGGACATGCTAAGCTCCCGCTCCAGAAAGATAGTAGATCGTCAGAACAAGAGTAGCGCCCAGCGCCTGTTTGAGCTCTCCAGACACAGAGTACCACCTCCCCCTGATCGATCTCCCTTCTGCTTTGGCAATCCCGGCGAAGGCGACAACTGCCGCCACCCACACCACGAGCGCCACCGCGCGCTGAGGGCCCAGTCAGCTCCTCCTCAATCCGGTCTGTGTCGCGGACGGGATCGCTATCTGGCCGTTGATGTCAACACCCGCCTGTACGAGGATGGCCTCCACCATCATTGGAAGCGCCTGGTTCTGTCGCTGCGTCACACGAAACTTCAGAGAAGAGTCCCCGCTGATCGCTGGCCGCTGAACAGGGTTCTTCGCTACTACCTGCGAGGTCTTTCCCGGGCGGCGCTGCTGCCGCTGCACGATGGGCGAACCGGCGGGGGAGGGGGAGGGGGAGGGGAAGGGGGAGGGGAAGGGGAAGGGGGAGAGCCCACCAAGGACGAGGGATCAAGTCTCGCGGAGGACACCGACAAACAGCGCGCCAATGGGAAGGGGAAGGGGAACGGAGGGGGTCCCAAAAAGGGGGGGAATGCCAAAACCCCCCGAAGTCGATCTGGACGGAAGAAATCAAAAAGGGCCAAGTCAGCTAAGGGGAAGAGAGGAGGAGGAGGAGGAGGAGGAGGAGGAGGAGGACAAGACAGCCAAGTGACGGGGACCACGAATGGAAACGTGGCAGAAGGGCACGTCAGCAGCTGAGCACGGAAGGGGGACCCAGGCTGGTTGGCCACCGTCAGCGTCTTTCCCCGAATAAGACGCACGGTCGTTAAAGCTGTAATTGGGCCCACCTACCTTGCAGTCTAGGTACAGAATATAAATTACTAATCACCGTGTGCGTAGGCCGGCGGAGTGCCCACTGAAGAGAGGCTTGTCTGGAGGACGAAGGGTGCTTCTCTCTGTTGCCAGGTCGACTGACGAGTGACTAACACGCCTGCCTGCCTGCCTGTCCTGTTGGCTTGCAGACCTATGGAAGGGAGTTTGCTCTCTGGAAGATTGGAAGGGGGGTAAGAACAGGGGTGCTGCAATGATGATGGGGACTCAATTAGTCCATCGGATGCGTTGACGGATTCAATCAGTCGAATCGGATGCGATGTTGGTTGTTGGTGGGTGCCTTTCTGTGTGTGCGTGCGTGCATACGTGCGTGCGTGCCTTTGAGACTGCTGTCCAGGAGGATAGGCTTACGGCTCCCGTGTGTGCAAACTCTGTCCCCCCGCGCGACGGCGTGCGCGATTCTGTATGTGCTTTGTGTCTGCCTGTGCGCGATTCTGCGTGTGCTTTGTGTCTGCCTGTGCGCGATTCTGCGTGTGCTTTGTGTCTGCCTGCGTGTGCTTCCTTCCGCCTGTGTGTGTGTGTGTGTGTGTGCGTGCGTGCGTGCGTGTGTTTGTGTGTGTGTGTTTGCGTGTTTGCGTTTGTGTGTGT